AAACCAAGGCCTATTACAGAAAGACCAGTTCATTTATTGAAGAAAAAGTGCCACCTGGGAGCCTGGGGAGGTGACTTAGTGGGGCATGAGGACCTGAACTCAGATCCCTAGCACCTATATAAAAGCCAGGCATGGTGGTGTATATCTGCAAACCCAGCACTCGTTGACAGCCTTTCTGACTGACTTGGGAGCTCTGTATTCAGTGAGAGACCCTGCCTCAAAAACAAACAAAAATTAAAGGTGGTGGTACACACCTTTAATCCCAGCACTTGGGAAGCAGAGACAGGTAGATCTCTGTGAGTTTGAAGCCCAGCCTGGTCTACAAAGCAAGTTCCAAGACAGCCAGGCTACACAGAGAAATCCTATCTCGAAAAACAAACACACAAAAAACCACCACCAACAAAAAAAACCCAAAACAAACAATTGAGGAAGACACCTGATGTTGAACTCTGGCCTCCAGGCACACGTGCTCACACACACTCCTGCTGCCTGCCATTAACACAGGACTGTCTTTACAGAATACCAGCCAATTCTCTGTAAAGCCTAGAAGCACAGCTCTCCTGACCAGCTGTTTCTTTCCTCTTTTCTGAAATCTTGTGGGGAAGACCACTTAAAACACACCACTGCTCTCTCTAAGCCAGCTGATTGCACAAGTCAGGGGCAGAAAGCTTCAGGGTTAGCTAGCTCTGGTTATGGGTATTAACACATGAAAAATGTTGCTTCAGACCTGCCTTTCCACAGTGTGATCCTAGATTAATAGTGAGTTTCTTAAAATAATGTACTTGACAAGTGTTTTAAGACTTCATTATGCTTTATGAATTTGAAGGAAGGATTGTTTAAGCACCTCATTGAGACCACAGGGAACCGCAGTGTGTAGTCAGAGTCACCCATTTTTCATGTGGGTGGCTAAACCTCATGAACAATAGAAGGTTATTGCTGTAGAGGTCTCACTGACTTTCCGTTTCTTCTTTCAAGATTGGGAACATTTGAATCACTTTTGGAATGATTATAACTAAATTCATGCCAAAACAAAAGTGATTTCCAAGCTTTTGTGAAGAAAGCTATACCAATAGTCCTTTAAGAACTTACGCAAGCCGCAGAAAAAGCAGATTGTAGTTTCATTAGGTTTGACATCAGTCTCCAGGAGAGACAGCCATTCGTTTCTTAAAGCCCAACAATTAATGTTTCGGAAGACTCAATACATTTTTAATGTGACAAGATCGTGTCCTTTATGGAAGCCAGTGTGAAGTGATGAAGCCTGGAGAGGCTGCCGGGCATGCAGCTCAGTTGGTGGAGTGCTTGCTTAACATGCTCAGAGTCCTGGGTTGGATTCCCAGCACCACAGAAAATGAGTGGGTTTTGAGGAGGAGGAGGAGGCAGAAGGAGTAGATGCTCAAGGAAGGGCACTCTTGGCTACAGATGGTGTTTGAAGCTAGCTAGATAATGAGACTCCATCTCAGATAGACAGGTGGATAGTTACATCACTGATAGATTTGGAAATACATGTTTCCTTTCTTGCCCATGCTCACAAACCATTCCTTACCCTTGCGCTAGGTCTCCAGAGTGTTTGCTTAACACTGCCTTTCTTGGTTTCTAAACAGACGTGTGTACTGGATTCCACCTGCTGGCTTGCTAAGAACAGGATGCTTATTGTTGGAATCTGGACAGTGTAACACATGCTCCCCAGTAGGACAAGACAGGAAACACCGGAATTTTTAGGACTCCCTGATAATGACTAAAATCTTAGAAGCAGAAAGGAGATACTAAAGGAAAAAAAAAAAAAAAACAAAAAACAAAAACACAGCCAGCTTCCCTTCTCTTCAGACACTCTGGCATGGCCCTGAGGGCCATATGGGATGAGGTCAATTTACAGTTTAGTCCTGACTTAAGATGTTATAGAAAAAATATCAATTACTCAACTGGTGCAGAGAGGAAGTTAAGACCAGGATTAGTGACTTGGACATTATGACCTCGTAGCTTCATAATATCAGAGGTGAATTTTAAAATATCATAAGCTAAGGTCAATTTAATTCCAGACACTCAAGTTGGATATGCAGTGTCTAATAGACACATGGATGAACACCTTGTGTTGAGTTATGAAAATGACATTTTTGGCGGGAGAGATGGCTCAGCAGTTAAAAGCACTGGCTGCTCTTGCAGGGGACTTGAGTTCAACTCCCAACAAGCACATGTCTGCTCACAACCATCTGTAACTACAGTTCCAGGGAATCTGATGCAATATTCTGGCCTCCATGGGTACCAGGGCACACAAATGGTGCATATACATACATGCAGGCAAAACACTCATGTGAATAAGTAAATACAAAAATGACATTTTCATGGACTGATTAGAAGGGTGAATTGAGTTTTTTTTTTTAATTTTACTCATACACACAAACACACACACACACACACACACACACACACACACACACACACACACACACCACTGACCTACAAAAAACATGGAATGTGTTACTTATGTGTGAGATTTCCCCAGTGTTCAAAATGAAAGTGAGGAGCTGGGATGGTGAGCAGCTCAATGGTTAAGTACACTGGCTGCTCTTCCAGAGAACCCAGGTTTGATTCCCAGCACCTACATGGTGGCGCACAACTAACTGTTGCACCAGTTCCAGGGGATTTGATGCCCTCTTCTGGCCTCCATGGGCATCCCATGCACACACCTTACACAGACTTACATGCAGACAAACACTCATAAAAATAAATAAATCTCAAAAAAAAAAGGAAGTGAGCATGATCACTTGGTGATCAGATCACCGTCTGAGATCCCAGGAAGCAGGAAGCTGTTGTTTCCAGATGAACTTCCGCTGTACTGCCTGATGACTAGCTCACACTGTAAGAGTGTTCTTTTCTACTCTGGTTGATGGAGGGACTTGACTTGGGGAAGAATGCAGAAGGCTCTCTTCAGGGACCCAGATCCTGTTTTAAACTGTGCTTTGAATGAGTTTCCTTAGCTGCAAATGCAGACAAGTCATTGGCTTCCTCTAAACGTTCAGTGGCTTTCCACCTCCCAAGAAGCAATGTGGGGCCAGCAAAATGGCTCCTGGATAAAGTCTCTTATCACCAAGCTTGGCAACCTGAATTAGATCCTGGGACCTACATGGTGGAAAAAGAGAACTGCTCCCTGCAGGTTGCTCTCCGACTTCCATATCCGTGCCATGGCATGCATGTGCACACATATGCACACATGTACAAAGATAAATATAATAAAAATGCATTTTACAAGAAGCAGTAGGAACTCTGACCTAAGAAATCATGCTGCTACCTTTGTTTGTACTGTTTCCATCTGGAACCATCGACCCCTCCCTTAACGTAGACTCTGCCTGTGTGTGTTCACAAATGCTGTTGCTCCAGCTGGTCCTGTCCTATCTTGCAAGTTCTCATGCATCTTTGAAGGTTTGCAACCAGGTGCCGGAGAGTCAGTGGCTCAGCAGTTGAGAGTGTGTACTTGCCTTGCAGAATAATCTAGTCTGGTCTCCAGCACCCATGCCGGCAGCTGACAGCCACCTGCCTGTCATCCAGCTCCGGTGTAATCTGATGTCTCTCACCTTCCCTCCCCACCCCCATAATGGGCATACCCATAATTAAAAACCGCAAGAGTAAATACTGAAAGGGGAGTTGCGGTTAACTTCCACTTTGTAGTTAGGACTTCTGAACCTTTCTCACACCTTTGCCTCTGACAGGCTAAAGCCCTGCCTGCCTCTAGGGCAGTGGGTCTTGACCCCTTTGAGTGTCAAACGACTTTCGCAGGGGTCAGCTAAGACCATTGGAAAACACAGATACGTACATAACTGTAGTTTTGCTATAGTTATGAAGTAGCAACAAAAATAACTTTATGGTTGTGGTCACCACAGCATGAGGAACCGTATAAAAGGGTTGCAGCTTCAGGAAGGGTGAGGACTGCTCATCTAGAAGCAGACTCTCTTAGACTTGAATGCAGGCCCATGGGTGGCTTCTTTCACTTGATACCACCTTGAATCTATGCCTAGTACACTGTGGCTAGTCTTAGGAGAACTGACAAATGAAAGAATGGGTGTCCCTCTCCTCAAACGGGAGTCCCTCAGTACAGCCAGGCTAGGTGCAGTTCTTTCTTTCCACTCCCAGGGAGCTTAATCCCTTACAACTTCTGCTCCATGGTTCTCAGGGGCCACTCAGAGTACCAGGGATGGGAGACGGGGATGGAGATGGTCTAAACACATTGTATTCATGCATAAGATTACCAAAATATTAGCAATTTAAAAAAGATTACTGTGGGTGAATACATTTCCTATTTTCAACAGTCTTACAATTCTTCCACCATTTGCATGAGAACCAAAAGATTACAGGTAGACCACAGGCAGGCTTTCCAGCCGGCTTTAAAATTTGGGATATTTTGTTTTTTCTAACATCAAATGCCACTCGCCAGAAAAGACTTCTCTTATTGAATTGAATGGCATGATTCCCAAATATTAAGTTTAGAGAAAGGCCACAAGATACGGAGCCACCCATTATCTTAAAATAACTGTGTTATGCACATTGAAAGATGTAGCTTTCCTTTCCGGTGTGATTGCTCTGTTTGATCAAATTGAAAGTCAGGTTCCTATTATGGTGTTTATGCCTTATTTCCTTAGACTAAATGAAATTGTCCCATTATAGCAAATAGAAGCTTCATAATGGTTTGATTCGGGTTTAATTGGAAGGCTGTTTCTCAGAATACTTTACCATTCCAGTCACACGTTGGATATTGTGTTTTCCAGTAGAGACCATGAGCTAGGACCAAGTTGAAACCCTTAAAAAGACTTGCAGTCCCAGGTCCCTCTCTCTTCACTGTCCCCATGGAAACAAACCCCTAGAAGAAATGCCCCTTGCTCTGCGGTTCTGCTCTCAGCTCCTCCCAGGATGGGCAGGCAGTTTAGACACTGTCAAGCCACCCTTGGTGTCACGTCCTCTGTGTTTCTGAAGTGGACTTCACCAAGAGTCTTCTCTCTGTCTTTCTCAAGGATTCCTCACAGCAATGAGGCAAGAAGTGACCCGAGCTCACAAAGGCTGGGCACTGGACACGGTGACCATCCACAATGAAGTCCTGCGGCAGACCAAAGAGGAGATCACCGCACCCCCTGTGGTAGGTGCTGTGGGGAGCTGAGGGTGGGAATCCAAGTTCAGGACAAAATCATTGTTGCAGGCTGGGGATTCAGTGCCACGAACAGCCAGTCACCTAGTGGGCAAGGCCCTGGGTCAATTCCCTCTACCACAAAAGCAAACACAAAATTAAAAACTGACCTTGCCTTCGTCAGTGACGCCCATCTGCTTTTCAGGGAGGTTTTTCTCAGTTGTAACCAGACAACCTCAAGGCCAGTGCCTCCCCCATCTGCTGAGTGGGAGGTTAATGACAAGAGCTAGTGAGCCCAGAGACTTCCCGGGTGACCTTTCTTTATTAATACAAGTTATGTACACATTCACTTAGAAGGATTTCCATGTGTCTTCAGCTCCTGTTGCTGGGCTCACGGGGTCCCCTGGAGCAGCTGAGGGCCATGGACTCGCTGTATTGTCCCTCAGTGAGTGTGGGGACTCTGGGTGCAGAGCATCTGCCATGCTGTGGAGAGAGTAGGCCCTCTGAGCTGCTGTTTTTACACTGATGCTAGGGAACTTCTTTCATGATTTTGCTACTGTGTCTGAAAAATATGTGACAGTTCAACCTCTCTGCAGGAAGTCACAAGGCTGTAAACACCATCATGTAGGCTTGGTGGCGGATCTGACATGACAACTCAATAAATCTTAGTTCTTCGTTCTTCTTCTCTGATGGCCATTCTCCCATTACCAATGGGACAAGAGCAGATGATTTTTCTCAGCTCTGATCCAAGTTTTATGCCACTTTGTAGTGGGAGATCTTCTTTCCAGTTTTTGGAAGGTTCCTTATGCCTCTCCAAGCCCTCATCCCACATACCCCTACCCTGTCTATTTCTACCAGCCCCTCCTTAAGGGAATTTAGGGCATCTCTATTACATACTCCGAGGTTCCCGAATCTTCTGCCTATGGTTGCATCCCCACACATGTCACCTCAATGTGTGTGTTTGTCCTACTGCTTAGCTTCCTGGTACCCCAATCTATATTTGTTGCCTAAAATACAGCAGACTGGGTTGCTAAAGTCTTAGAATGTTTTCCCCTTACAGTTAAAGAGTCAGGAAACCACTGTAGCTCAGTTGGAAGAGCACTGGCTTAGCAGCATGGAGCCCTAGTTGGACCCCCAGCACCATGTAGGCTGGGTGTTGTGGTATACACTTGTAATCCCAATACTCAGGAGACAGAAGCAGGAGGGTCGGGAGTTTAAGGCCAGCCTGAACTACATGAGACCCCCTTTTCAAAACAAAACAAAATAAATCAGCTATTGGCAGTGTTGGTTTTTTCCAGAAGGAAGCTGTGAGAGACAAGCCTACTCCGTGACTCTCTCCTGGCTGCTGATGCCCACTGGCAGCCCTTGGCAAGATTGGTTGGTTTTTGGATGTCTCATTCCAGTGTCTACCAGCACTTTCAGAAGCCTTATTCCCTATGTGCCTCTCTACCCCTACCCCTGACTACCCCTACACACACACACATACACACACACACACACACACACACGCACGCACGCACGCACGCACGCACGCACGCACGCACGCACGCACGCACGCACATGCACGCATGCACCATAATGGATCTAGGGCCTTTCTAGACCCAGAGTATTTATATCTAAACACATTATATCTACAAAGCCAAATGATGCATCTTAGGTACTGGGTTGATGTAAATTTGGGGTGATAGTATTCTACCTGCCACATCTTTGCACTGTGACTCTTAAGGTCCCTAAATTGCAAGGGTGATAGAAAAAGGACACAGTTGGCTGTAGGATAGTTCCTAGTGGTCACTTAGTTTGTGTAAATAATAGTCAACCACTAAGCTAATGGTGGGAACTCCTGCCTCCTGATTCTCTGTGACTGCGAAAGATCTCACTGTCAAACCACGTGCTTCAGTTTGTGGTTCAAAATATACGGTCCTCATGCAGTTAGCCCACATGAAAGAGTCCCAGAAACTCTTTGCAGCTAATCTCTCTGCCCTTTGCCATGATCCACATTTACTCCCCCGGCCCCATCGTCGTTAGAAACAGAAAAACGGTTACCGTCTTCTACATAAATATACTTTATGAGCTTCCATGATTCTCTCCGGCCCTTTCTTGTTTTAATGAATACATGTTCTGTGGCTCCCCGGTGCCTGCAAGATAGAGTTCAGACACTTCAGCTCAGCAGATTCGTCTTCCATGGTCAAGTGATAACTCATTTTATTACATTTGAACCCTTTGCCCAGAAGTAAAATATCTTCTCTGCCCATCCTGTCTGTCTTTATGGAGCTGCTTCAGCCTCCTCCTCCCCAGTTCCATAGGCTGCTCCATCCCTTCAGGGATCTCTTCAAGACTGTCCCCTCTGCAGTCTAAAGACGAAAGCCCACATGACCTTCGATCCAAAGTCACTGTTCTTATCCTCAGAATCCATCACCATGCAATTCCATTAACAAATTTCAAACTTTCACTGGTACTCAAGGGTCTCCGCTTCCTTGATTTAAAGGTGAGGCCCACAAAGGCAAGTCCATTTGTAGGAAAGAACGTGCTACATAAGGAGGATGGTTTAGTCATATACACTGTGGAGCAGCCAACTCCTTCGTTCTTGTGTCTGCTTTGCTGTACCACCCCAGGCCTCTGGGGGGGCGCTCTAATCTCATTTCATCTTGTGAAGGAGATGGGGTGGAGCCCAGGGTTGGCTTGGTCATCTTGGCCTAAAGTCCCATTGACAACAGCTCTAAGTTGCAGCAGCTCAAACTGGACTTACAGCTACCTGCAGAGGTGACCTGGCTCTCCTGTTACCCAGGTTGACCACCCCACATTCCAATAACTCATAGCAGGGTGTTTCCACCATGCTGCTAGACTTACAGTGTGCCCCAGGGGAAAACATGACCTAGTGATTCATGAAAGCGATTTCCCCAGTGGTGTTCTCTTATCTGCTAGTGCTCTAAGACTGGCTCGTGTTTTCTTTCTGAACTGACAGCCTTGCTGACATAATGGATGCCTAGCTTTCAGCACCTCTCCTTCTCTGCCACTTGATCTTTCAGGAAGGTGTGTATATTTATGGGCTGTATATGGACGGAGCATCCTGGGACAGGCGGAATGGGAAACTCACAGAATCCACCCCGAAGGTTCTCTTCATGCAGATTCCTGTCCTGCATATCTTTGCCATCAACTCCACGGCACCCAAGGACCCGAAACTGTACGTGTGTCCTATCTACAAGAAACCCAGGCGAACTGATCTCACCTTCATCACAATGGTGTACCTGCGCACGGTGCTGTCCCCGGATCACTGGATCCTGAGGGGAGTAGCCCTCTTGTGTGACATCAAGTAGGTTCATTTCTGCCTGCCTTGGGCACCGGAAAAGCCACATGGAAGCCCTGCCATTGACAGACTCAGACGTGTGTGTCTCCCCTCCCCAGTAGGTCCTTCATTACTCTCCCCCAATTAAACAGTTGACACTTCTCCCATTGCTTGTCTGTCTCTTCCTCTCACATCGCTATTCAAAGATCCGTTCCGAATTCCTGCTTCTGATTCCAAGAACTCACATCATGGCATAATGACTTTTTGAAAGATAAACCCATGTCTTTATGTTAGAATCCTTTTTAGAAGGCTTGCATTTGAAAAGTTGAAAACAGGGTGTTGATAGGATCCATCCGAAAAGGACCCTAGCAGATAGAACTTTTTCCGCCAATGAAAACCACTCCTGGGCTGGCAAGATGGCTCAGTGGGGAAAGGCACTTGCCACCAAACTTAACATCATGAGTTGAAAACTCTGGGATCCACAGGTAGAAGGAAAAAAAAAACTCTCTCAAGTTGTACTCTGATCAGCACATACATAAGCATTGTGGGGCAAGCACACACTCTTAGGAGTACATGCTTGTGCACACGTGCGTGCACACACACACACAAATAAATGTAATTAAAATATACAAATAAATATATCAAATACAATTTAAAAAAGAAAATCCCTCCCAATAAATAATCTTCCCATGTCTAGGTTTGTTGGAGTATTACCCTTTTGAGTTTGTGTGCGTGCGTGTGTGTGTGTGTGTGTGTGTGTGTGTGTGTGTATGTGCACGCACATGAGTGTGCACAAATGTGCTGTTGGGGGATGTAAGAAAACCACTGGGACAGTTGACCTTGTAATTTATTTTAATTTTATTTAATGTTATTTCCTCATCTTTCTGTGGTACTTTTGAGGCTCGGGGAACTCTGGCTCCCTGGCTCTCCCTCCCGAGCCCACTTGTGCGGGAAATAATAAAACACATGTCTAGGTAGCAAATGGAGAAAGCAAAACAAACTCCATCAAACAAAATTAGGTTACACGCTGAACATCTTAAAAAGCAGAGTCTTTAGACAGTGAAGCTATTTCTTACTCAGTAGTTAGTCTGAAACTCAGTATGAACCTTGATTTCCTGCTGAAGGAAATTGTCAATTTAACAAAACAGATGGGGTCCTCAACTGAAACGCTCGTGTAGCTCCAGGATAGTGAAGAAGTGTCTCTCCGCTGTCTTCTCATCTGGAATCTTCTTGCCTGCCCCTAGCTATTTGCACCGACTTCATTCTCTCTGTTCTGGAGGAGGAGTCATTCCCAATTGTCCCGTTCTTCTGTTATCCTGTTACCCTGATGGGAGATGGTGACGGCAAACCAAGGCATCCAGGGATGACCTCAGAGGAAACTCTGCTGTACCTCCTGTCTGGGGTAGCTCCTGGAAGTAGACCATAATGGTAACCTCTGATGTGTCCCAGAGGCCTATTCAGTGTCAAAGTCATAGAACTTAAAGGATAATTAAGTACCTGTCCTGTTTCGTTTCCATTGTGATAAAAAAAAAAAAAAACTGACCAAAAGCAATGTAGAGGAAGAAAGTTTTCATTTGGATTACACATTCCCAGGTCACAATCTGTCACTGAGGGAAGTCATGGCAGGAGCTTGAAGTACAAACCATGGAAGACCCTTTCTTGCTGGCTCAGTCTTTAGCATCTTCAAAGGTTCATGCTTACTTAGCCAGTTTTCTCACACAGCTCAGAGCCACCTGTCTAGGGGTGGCAGTGCCCTCAGTGGCTGGGCCCACCTGCATCCATCAAGACAGACCTCACAGAAATGTCCACAGACAAGCTGATGAAGACAGTTACTCTATGACATTATTATTATTTCAGGTGATTCTATATTGTGTCAAATTGACAGTTGATGCTAACTAGAACAGTAGCCAAGCCATCTGGTCTAAATTTCTGTACTTCCCATGACCAGGGCACACACTAGAGCAAAGGTGGCACTCCCTGGGTGAAGCTAGAACTTGGAAGCACTTGCCTTCCAGTCTGGGCGGGCCCAGGAAAGCAATGCAGTCTTGCTATAGCAAGCCAGTCAACGGATTCTGAAACAACACACATGTGAGGTGATCAAACAATTAAAGGTAAATGCACAATCTAAACCCCTGATGTCCAAGAGGGTACTTAGAGAACAGTAACAATTAGGCTTGATGTTGTCTGATGACTTGAATGTCTTGGAGAAAATGGGGCTGGGGGTATAAAAAGCTGTGACTCTAGCAAAGGTCACCGATAAGACTGGTTAATGGCACTGTTTTCTGGGAACTCTGCTGTGGCTGATTATTTTGCTCTGAGTCAACAGTGAGGAGAAAGAGAGATGGGCACTGAGGCCCAGCCAGTATGGGCACCTGGCCCTTGGGCAGTGCCTCCAAATGGTTTTGTTGACGGTTGGCACTTCTGAACTGCCTGGGTTCTGCTGAGAGCTGGCTGGGGACCCAGTTCCAGTGTCTTTCTCTAGCTTAGCAAATGGCTTTCCTTAGACATTTTGCACCATTGAACTTCCATAAACACATAACCATTTTCTCAGCAAAATTGTTGCTCTTTCACTAATTACATAATTTGCCACACTTGAGTGAGGGAGACCTGGTGAGCATAAAAGAGCAGGGGAGAGAGGAGGGGATGGTTAAGCCAACAGAAGCTGGGGCAGAGGCGGTGTTTTGTTTTTTTGTTTTGTTTTGTTTTGTTTTTTTTCTGTTTTCCCTCCTTGGAAACATTCCACGTTTTCTCATTTTGGTCTCAGCAAAACGAGCCATGAGATTTATATCTTCTTTGATTTAAAATGTTATTTTACTTTGGACTTTACATAAAAATAAGAAAAGCATACAGAGAGAGAGAGAGCACGCCTAAAAAAGAGATCTGTCTTGCGGGTGGCGATGTGTGAATAAGCCACACTTTGCTGTCAGAGATGAATGGGAGGACCTCGACTCAGCTGGGGATGCAGTGTGACTCAGGACCATCACTGAAGGTCATAGATGCGGCTGAGGATATTCAAGGTTGAGGGATGGTGGCAAAAGCAAGGTAACACAGAGTAACACAGGGGGTGGATCCCGAACTCTTCATAGATACCATCAAGGCTACAGATGGGTGGGTTCCAAGGGAGGGCCAGTGTGAGGGAGATATATTAGTCATCTCATTGCTGTGACCAAATGCCCGACAAGAAGCAGTTCTTATGTGAGAAAGGATTTGTTTCAGCTCACAGTTTGGGGGTGGGTACAGTTCATCATGGCGGTGGCTGCGGTGACTGCAACATGAAACTGCTGGTTCACATATAGGTAGATAAGGAAGCAGAGACCAGACAGGAAGCAGGGCCAGGCTATAGACCTCAAGGACCACCCCCAGCAACTCACTTCCTTGAGTGAGGCTCCACCTCCTGAAGGATCTCTCCAGCCTGCCAAAACACCAGCACCGGCTGAAGACCAAGTATCCAAACACAGGAGCCCGTGGATCGCACAACAGGAGAGAAAGGAAGACAGATAAGACATATCAGAGATGGAGGCCAGATAACCTTCGAGAAACTTCCATCATGAGAACTACACACTCCACATACCAAAGGTCTTGTGAACTAGCTAAAACTTCAGCTTTGTGGTCCAACCTATCCCGGGAACAGCTCCCCATTCTACAGCAAGTCTCTGCAAAGCACAGCCTGTTAACCATCTCAGTAAGTATGGGCAGAATGAAAGAAGCAGCAAACAGTGGATTTGCTCATTAACCCCTTGATTACAGGCAATGACGAGGAAGGAGGGGCCATCTGTGAGGGATAGGGCTGAGGCTAGAATCGCAGAGGGCAGTGTTGATCATGCTGGGTTGCTGATGGGCTGGGGGTGAGAGGCCATTGTTCTAGACTGGAACAAGAGAGCGGGCAATTGGAAAAGAAGAGAGACTCTTTGGAAAGATGCAGAGAGGGAGAAAATTTGGAAACTCCGAAACTGAGTTGAGGGGGTCCAACAGAGTCTGAAGAGGGCTGGAAGTGTGTATCAGTGGTGGAGTGCTTGCCTAGCAGTGCTCAGAGCATCACACACACACACACACACACACACACACACACACACACACGAACATACATACCATGCCTCTCTCTGTGTCTTTGTCTCTGTCTCTCTCTCCGTCTCCATTTGAGACTTGAAGATACAACTGTTAATAGACTGGAGAGTCTAGCTGAATGTTTGTCTCTTTTGTTCTTAAAATTTGGGAAAGAGATGGCTAGGAAAATGGCTCAGTCCATAAAGCACTCACCTCATAAGCATGAGGACCTAAGTATGAATACCCCAAGCCTTCATATAAAGCTGGCCACTGTGGTGTGTACTTAAGATCCCAGCAACTGTGATATGGGAGATGCAGAGACAAGCAGATCCTTCAAGATGGTCCCATGTATAAAGCTGGGCCCTGTGGTGTGTACTTGTGATCCCAGCAACCGTGAGATGGGAGACATAGAGACTAGCAGATCCCTCAAGACGATGTCTCAAAGGGAGGACCAATACCCGAGTTTGTTCTCTGACCTCCATATTTGTGGTGTGGCACACATGTGTCTGTACTCTCAGATGCAAACACACACACACACACACACACACACACACACAATGCATATACATTTATTGAGAGAAAAGAATACTTAAGCAAAAGATAAAAGAGTAAAAACTTAAAAGAAAAATGTACTGTACTAAGTGAAAAAAATTAGGAACTGTGGAGATCTTTCCACTTTCTATTTTATTTTATTTATATGCTATTTTGCTTGCATGTATGTCTATGGGCCACATGAATGCAGTGGCCAGGGAGGCCAGAAGAGGGCTTGGATCTCCGGGAACTGCAGTTAGAGAGGGTTGTGATTCCCCCTGTGGGTGCTGGGAATCAACTCTGGATCCTCTGCAAGAGCAGTCCATGCTCTTAACCTCTGAGCCAGACCCACGGTCCACTTTCAATTTTAAAAAGCCAAAAGCAACTCAGAGGTAAAGTAACTTAATGTCTTGAACCTAGGTAGCTAATAAAATCTCCAATGTTGAAACTTTTGGAAAAAATAATTAGCCTAATTAGAGAAACTTGAAAGATACAGCAGTTGAAAAGATGCCACCAGGTGACACTAGCCACTGTCAGCACATATGACTGACACACAGGACCAGCACAAATAGAGTGATCATGTGTCCTTGGG